ATGCTAACATTGCATGTGTTGGCAACCTTTTCCTGGACATAAGGGACAGTGCCCTTTATTTAAATATTGATTACTTTATTTATGTTTGTTTACAAAAATTATCAAAGTAGACATGTTAAAAAATACCTCCTTCCAATAAGCTTCAGGTATTTCTTCTTGGACTAATAGTTCTTGAGCTTCTTTGTCTGAAATTATGGACTCAGGTTTCTTTTGTTCTGAAGGTTCAACGCTAGGGACTAATTTCTTGTTGAATTCCTTTGGCGTTGGCTTTGGGTCTTCATATACCTTCACTGGGGTTACCCATCGTTGTAAACTTGTAATTAATTTCGGGGATTTTGGAGCTTTTCCGTCGTCAAGATGCTCATCTCTTTTTCTCTTTTCTTTCTTGAGAAAGGACGAATTGACTGGTCCTTCTTTGCCGACGAGGACATTTTTCCTCCTAGCCTCTGGTTGCAATGTTTGAAGGGTCTTACGCTTCTTTTCTCTGTTTTTCTGAGTTTTATCTCTCACCCCTGAAGGGACTAAAGAAGACAAAACAGTACGATCAGAAAGTGAAGACATTTTAAAATATGGCGCTGCGCTAAGTTGGAAAGAAACTGGCTATCGATGTTAGCCACTTGCTTTTGATATTGTTGCTTCAAATTGGTCAACTAAATGCAAAACCACTGAAAATGAATTAAGATGGAGATGGGTTTTCTTAACGTAAAAATAAACAGAATAGCATTTCAGAGGTTTAGATGGGTCGTTTAAACGGTATTGTTCTAGCCAAAGAAATTATTTTTCTAGCTTTTCTTGTTTAGATGGCGATGCATTTAACAAAACAGAAGCACGTGACTTACTTCCCTAATCAGCCGGCGGATCCGAACAGATTGGTTGTTACTTTAGGATTCCATTTTTCAAGGTTAGGTATCTGCAATCTTATGTGATAAAGTAAACTATACTTATATTCTGGCAGTGAGAAAGGGAAGTGATTCTTCTTTTATGCCTAACATCTTTTGTAGAACTGCGCTACTTCACTTATTTTCAGATAAACATGTTCAATGCCTGCAACTTATATAACTAGTAAACTAGCAAAAACGCAGCGTGTTCTACTTAAGAAGTTGGGAGAGTATTTATATCTTTGTCGCGTGATTTGCCTCAGGCAGTGCGACTTTATTCACAGTCACTCACCGTTACAGCCTGGAAGATGGTGTGAATTAAGGTGCATTTGAGTAACTCGAGAAAAATCATCTCATCTGATAACAAACACCTCAGGCATTTCTTTAGGTCTCACATGCTGTTAATGCATGTGAGTCATCACCATTTGGGAAAAATCTGCGTGTTATTCATCATTATAATTTGAATATTTTGATTTAAGATGAGGACAAGTCTATTGACGGCTGTGCTGGTAGGGAGTTGCACGCTGGGGTTGGTGGTGTGTGCCCCAAGGGAAGATGAAGTGAAGTACCTACCTGGGCTCAACAAGCAGCCATACTTCAAGCATTACTCAGGGTACCTCAATGCCACTGGGACAAGGATGTTGCATTACTGGTGGTTATGATTTGTGACCCATAATAAAATTTGACATGCTTTGCTGTTTACTTCGATATTTTTCTTTACTTACAATTAATGTATCAGGGCCAAGTGATAACACAGGGCCACTTTTGAATTCATGACTATACTTGTTGGGCATCTATCAACATTGTATAGTGCATAACATTTAAGTAAAGTTGAAAAAGGTTTTTTAAAACGAACAGTAGATCGAGTAAGTCTACTTGTAGTTTTGTTGACTATTTAGATGAAAATTGTCTTGTTTATAATATGCAGGACCATATAAGAAAGTGGCTGCTTAACATAACACTGAGCTTCTAAATGATGTGTGTTATCGTCATCATTTTCAACTTGAAGATTACAAAATGAAGGTTTGTGAAGGGAAATACTATTGTTGTGATGAAAACTTATCACATTGTCCTAGGTTTGTGGAGTCTGCAAACAACCCAGCTACTGATCCAGTTGTTTTATGGTTGAATGGAGGTCCTGGGTGCAGTTCTCTGGATGGAATGTTGTCTGAACATGGCCCATTTCATGTGAGTCATCATTTTAATCCATGACCAGTATTGTAAAATGCAGTGAAATTTTATCATATCATAATAAATATCAGAGTTCATTTATTGTGAAATTTGTAAATTGTAATTTTAGTTCATTGATTGTGCAATTTAGGGAAACTATTAGTATTGCTCATATTGCTTGTATTATCATAAGTGGAATTTAATCTGCACTGTTATGATCACATGGACATTAACCCTAAAACAGGGATGGTTGATGCACAAAGATGTTTCAGAATGGTCTCTGGATCAAACCATATATAAGTGATAGAGGGGTAATGGCTTTTACTCAACAAGTTCAAAAGAAATTTATTTACAAGTATCTCCAATAATAATGTTTTGTCAGTGATATTTAAAAAAACATTATTTTTGTTTTGACTATCAGGTTTCTGAGGATGGAAAAAGCATTTCACTGAACAAGTATGCCTGGAATAATGTGAGTATGAATAAAATACTGGATATTAAAAAAAAGCAAATTATTGTTCCTTTACAAATATAAGAACAGAAAGACAGCTTTATTGCCCAAAGCAACCAGTGAAAGTGATAGTTAAAAACATATTTGATCTGTAATAAAAGAATAATTTTAGCTAAACACCTGGATGACTTCAGCCAAATCCAAAATTGAAAACGAACCGATGATTTATTTGGCAAAAAAAAAAAAAAATGGCAAGAAAAAAAGATGAAAAAGTTTTTTAACATGTTACCTTATGGGGCTGAATCCTATGATATCATACTATATTGAAACCTCTTCCAAAAGATAACATGAATTAATGTCAAGCTATGTTCTTTATAAAAATAGTCTACCAACAATCATGCATATAAAAATAAATCTTGAAATAAAAAATAAGACAAGCGAAAAAAAAAAGTATGCTTGTACCTCATTGTGTTACCCTCATATTTCCAGGTAGCCAATGTCCTATATATGGAAGCTCCTGCAGGAGTGGGGTTTTCATACTCTTTAGACAAAAACTACACCACAGATGATGACCAGGTCAGTATTGCAAGGGTCACTTTGTATCTTGAGCCAAAATGACCTGGGTCCAGTTGGACAGGTATTAATAATAATTATGTTCGGATTGTCTATTGACCTTTAACATTGATAATAATGATAACAAGTTCTAGATCAATACATAGTCAACAATAATGTATTGTCTAACTAGAATGGAAGTTGCCATTGTTTACAAATGGCTAATATTATCAAATGTTCTGATACTAGTATGTATTTGGCTGATATTATTTCACTGTTTGTGCATATGACAAATATTAATTATGACAAATGATGATGAAATTAAGAAGTTGTTTTCAGAAATAAATAAAACGTGAAGTGGTTTGCTGATGTTTCTCATGACAAAACAACTGGTTAAAATCAGAAATGTATTGTAAAACAACATATTATTTGGTCTTTGTTGGTAGAACATTAGCATGAAATAATCCATTTTGTATCACTTAATTTTAAATAAATGTGTCATTTCTTCTCTTTCCTGATGCACTTAATATTTTTGAAAGTCCCTACCTGACTGTGTAGGTCAGAAAGCCAAATGTCCATCTTGTCTTTGTATTGTTTATGTATCAATATTTGCATTTAATCAAGATAGAAAAATAGATATAGATATATATGATATATTTGATATATCTTATAACAAGATTAATTGGTTTTAGGTATCCATGGATAACTTCATTGCCCTGCATCATTTTTTTGTCAAGTTTCCTGAGTATAAGACCAATGAGTTCTATGTGACTGGGGAAAGTTATGGTGGGATTTATGTCCCCACCCTCTCACTGCGGCTTGCAGAGGACTTAGGGTCCTTTAACTTTAAGGTATGATAATAATAATAATAATAATAATAATAATAATAATAATAATAATAATAATAATAATAATAATAAAGATAACTGAATGTTTACGCATTTGCATATAAATTTAAGATGCAATGATTGTGTTACCTTGCAGCAAACAAATTATATTTGACTGTTTGTCTGTCGCTCAAGACGTCATTTGTAGGAATTTTTTTTAGAAAAATTTAAATTTTGAAGCTTTACTCTTTAAAAGTGCAACATGTTTGCCAGTATGGTATATTTATTAAACAAAAGTTCAGATTGTACACAAATTTGGTATATATCTTATTCCTTGTGGTTGAAGGCCACATTAAATATAGCAAGACCTTATGCAATAATTATTGTGGTTTGTCTGTTAGGTATGAAAACAGATGAATGTTTGTCCACTCAAAGCTTTAGATTTGCTTTTGCACAAATCTTAACAAATGCATAACATGTAATATTTTCCCTGTTTTTAGGGTTTTGCTGTGGGGAATGGCCTGTCCAGTGATTTTATGAATGACAATTCTCTCATGTCTTTCTTATATTACCATGGAATCGTAGGTGAAAAGTAAGTATGAAGTGCAAAAAAAAGGCTTTTCAAAAAATTTACTTAACTGAACAGTTGTTCTTTGATTGACATAAAGATCAAATAAGTGTAGACTCACTATATTAAAAATGTATATAATGACTTATATTTAAAATAATTATAAGATAGAGTATTATTTTTCTGAATAAATGAATAAGGTGGAGGTCACACTAAGTGTTTATAACAAGGAAAATTATGAATAGAATGCATATTGAAGATCCAGTCCACAAAGCACCTGTAAGTAATTGTTGTCCATTTATATTCAAGTTTTGAAAATGTTCTTTTTTCTTGTAAATTGGTCAAGAGTAAATTTGCAACGGTCTAATTTACTCAAATCTTATGATTTTAAAGGCAATTTATTTATTTATTCAGATTATGGAGACAGCTGATAAGCACTTGTTGCCATGGCAATGAGACAGGTTGTGACATTGTCAGCAGGACGTTGGTTGATCCTTCTTGTGAAAATCTGGTGTGTGGAGAGAATATCTCTCTCTCTCTCTCTCTCTCTCTCTCTCTCTCTCTATATATATATATATATATATATATATATATATATATAAGTTAATAAAAATTAACTAAAACACATTAATTACAGACAGTTTCAGACATATGGAGATCATTGAAAAATTGTATAAAGCTGCTAAAACATTTTGAAAATAATAACAAAAATGTTGATTTTTTTTTCCAGGCCAATTCAGTTCTTGGTGTTATCACAATGACTGGCCTAAATATGTACAACCTGTATGCTCCCTGTGCACCGCCATCTAAGAACAAACTGGCGTTAAGAGGAGCCAAAGCAAGAACCGACTCTTTAAAACATTACTTTAGGTTGTTTAGAAATAAGGTAGGTGCATCTGATATTTTCTTCATAAGTACTGCCTTGTGTGTTGATGGATTTTGTGTGGTTTTTGAGTTTTTTACTGTGATGCTTTATTTTGCATCTTATATTAAGTATAGGTCTACCATGTAAAAACTAAACTGTCTTACTGAATATTGAAAATTGTTAAGGTAGGACATATGGAGAGCCAAGCAAAAGGTTAATGATCTTATTAATTTTGGAAAAAATCCTATTATGACTAATTTGACATTTCATCCTCCTCACAAGAACTTTGGCAGACAGTGTAAATCCAGAAATGGTGTCTAAAAAATGTGAAAATATATCATCCCAGTTGTTTATTTAATGGCCTTTATAGATTTAAAAACATTATTATTGTTTTCATTATTGTTAAATTCAGGTGGGAGAAGTCCCCCCTTGTATAGATGTGACTGGTTCCACCATTTACCTGAATACTAAAGAGGTTAGGCAGGCACTCCACATACCAGATCAGTTGCCTCCTTGGGAGATTTGCAGGTAATTATGGTATAATATATAGACTGTGTACTGATAGGAATAGTTTACTCAGATATGTATATATCTTAGTTTAGTTGTGCATCACGCCTTTATGGATCTAGGAAGTTCTAATAATTGTATGGACTTGGCTGTAAGGTACTTTGATTTTCAAGGTTCCTTTTAGTTCGGCATGCCATGGGCCCCAATTTAATAACAGAGATAAACTGTTAATAGACTGGAGTTTCCAGTAACTTTTGAAACTCATAATGGCTGTTGTGTATGCCAGATTTGAAATACCCTTTATAAGTGATGTGCTTATAAGAGTATGCCATCATGCAGTTTTACACGCTGTCAGTTATGTTACACTGTGACTTTGCACATATACAACTGCAACTTTAGAGGTTCATGTTTCTCTTTCCAGTGGTGCTGTAGGAGGAAATTACAAAAGATTGTACAACAACATGACTTATCAGTACCAGAAGATCCTCTCTATGGCGGTGAGTTCAATGTTTTAGTGAGAATGAATTAAGAGGGAGTGGGAG